CTATTTTTAAACTATTTAATGTTTTAATTCATATGCCTTTATGTCCTTATTATACAAATTTATTATCTAGATGTATACGAGGACAGATCATATTATTAGGACTTATTATACTGGTGTTCAAGTTTTGCAAAATAAGGAAATACGATCTGTCCTAGTAGACATTAACTGTATTTAAATCATTTTTGCTCCTTCTGTATTGCATTTTCATTTGCTATTATGCAAATTCAGCAGTGGCTGAACACTGCATTACAGAAGGATATGAAATATATTTAAATACAGTTAAAATAAAGAAAAAGGAAAGCAACAATTTTAAAAGGCAACTATATGAACATATTTACATAAAAAGACAAAACAATAGAATTAATAACAACTTGGAAAGAGAAATCCACCAATCCTGGAACAGTATAATTGATGGGGGGTAACAGGCTGAAACATTTATAAAGGAAATGAACTTAGCAATACAATAATTGTATAGGCAAAGGAAAGTGATGGATATGCTCGGAAACATGATACGGATTATTTTTTGTTAATATTTTTATATTTCAATGTAATTAAAGGCCAAAATAATTACATAGTAACTGTAAACCTGCTGATGAGGGCCTGAGTAGTCCGAAACACAGTGTGTAAAGGGTGTACAGGTGAAACAGATGAACAATAAAGATTGTTTGTTTTTCTGAATACATTTCCTCATTTTTCAGAATTTGGACACCAGTATAATAAGTTTTAATATGATCTGTTCTAGTAGACATCTAAATAATAAATTAACATTATGTTACTCACATAATTGCTAAATAGCATAAAACACCAGATATTCACTTATAATTGAAATTGAATCTTCACCTAATGGTTGTTTCTTTATAAATATGTACAAATTGTAAGTTATTAAGTTATTTTTTTGTATTAAAAAATTGTAATGTAGAAAAATATTATATATAGGGTAAACTTGCCTAATTTGTACTTGCGCCTAATTCATACTTCGCTTATATCTCGACTCCAGTAATAGCTATTAGTGTCTCTAGTAGCAAAAAAAGTAAATAACAATTGGTCCTATTACCATCTGACAGACAACACGCTGTTACGCTGCTCCCGACAAAAATATTGAAAAGGAAAGTTTTTTAACTTTTTCTGTAATATTTTTGCACATTTCGTAAGAACTTTCTTCAAATTGGATCGTGTGTAAGTTTTTTAACTATCTGCGATGTATTAATGCGTATTTTTGTGATTTTATCTGATGTGATGATATATGCATATTTGTTGTCAAATTTTTTGGAGACAAATGTAAAGTTTGTTCGACTTTTGTGCCTATTTCATACTCGAGGCAACTTCTTAAAACATACTGGTACGATTTAGGAAAACCATTTTTAGATGAATGTCACAATAAGCTATTACCGATTCATAAACTTATTGTTTTTCTAAGTTTCTGATTTGAAAAATAACCACAAAAGTTCAAAACAAATTAAAACTTAATTGTCTTTAATTTTAGAACAACATGTCAAAAAGAAAATATAATTCTTGGAGTAAACAAAATATGAAAGAAGCGATTAAAAAAATATAATGATGGGACCTTATAATTTAACGAAGTTTGTAGTGTATATAATGTATCGAAATTGACATTTAGACAACAGTTACAAGGACTGAATACAAATCAAAGAATAGACTAGATAGGTCATTTTTCAAATCACTAAAACTGAATTTTAGTGCTGCTTGCGCATTGTGGATGCGAAACCATCCTGGTTCCTTAATAAAGAATATCCTTGAGCCGCTTGTATGGACACAGGCATGCATGGTTTTGAATCTTGCAGATTATGGTCTTGCTATCGCTTTAAGATCAGGGATGAGGAATATGTTGTTCTTGACGAAGATGCTAATCTAAGTGAATCGGCGGAAGTCTCCCAGTATCTGGCAACTGAAAGTCAGCAAGAACAAACAGATACTTTAACGTGTGTGGCACAATCCAATCAGACTACTGAGCAAGAACAGACTGAAGAAGTTGAGTACCCACAACTTCCTGAGGTACCAACAACTCACCCTTCGGAAAAACAGCAAGATCAATGTCTAGAAGAGAAAGCGAAGGAATGTTCTTTAGGTATGAAAGTAAACATTTCTAATACAGAGATAGTTAGACCAACATTTGAAATAATATTTTTAATATGTGGTATTCTTGGAATTGCAAGAAGAAAAACGTATCAAAGAATCTTGGTGCAAAGAAAAGTAAAACTACTAAAATATCACAAAACGAGAATAAAAAAAAAAGGAAAACAGATGATGAAAATTGTTATTTTCATCATCTGTTTTCCTTTTTTTTTTATTGGTACTGTAAATTATGCCAAGAAGACGTAAAAGAAAGTATTATCAAATGCACACAATGTGAGATATGGGTACATGAACTTTGCGCAGGAACCAATAAAAAAACAACAGATTACAACTGTGACGACTGCCAAAAATTGGCGAAGACCATCCGCCAAATTTGTTAAGAGTTAATATACACACGTATTAATACAATATTGATTAAGATTTTTATTCTTAAGACTGCAAACCAATGATAGGATCTCAAAGTACAATTTAAGAATATATCAGTATGATTTAAGACAAATGGTCCTAAATCATATTTTTTTAGTGTTTTTTTTTTTTTTTTTTTTAAATTGTTTATTTCTCAGAAGTTTATAAGTTTTATGCTAAATTTCATTATGGTAGTAATAAAATATTTCCCAAATAAAAGTTACTTAAAATAAAAAATAATTTGTGTTTATTAATTTCGATAATATGATGGTTTTTCTTTAAGGGGTATGAATTAGGCACGTTTACCCTGTAGCACTGAAGAGGGGTTGAGAGTTCATGTCAACCCAAAATGCATATGTAGAATAAAGAGTTAAATTGTATATTTTAACCTTGGGATATTTTTCTTGCTGAAAGAAATACTAAATTTGTAAATATAGGATTATTTAGTTAAAATGCATAATAATTTTAATTTATTATTATTAAAAATTAAATTAGCATTTTTAAGATATAGATGATAGTATCAGAATTTTTTCTAAAATTTTTTTAATTAAATATATTTTAAAACAAATTATTTTAATTTGTAAATGGAAATAAGTAATAATGATAAAATTATATGAAATGTAATGTACTGTTTTGTAATGGTAAGTTACTTCTTTATTTTGGGTGACTATAAATATCATAAATTGAAAGTATGAAAATGGGACACAAATTTTTTTTGCACCAAGAGTTTTGGGAAAATAATAGTTATAATAAGAGAACATCACTTTGTGGCTGTTTTTTTTTATTGAACATGTAATTACAATAGTTTGTTTAATAAAAATTGTTTTAATTAAAAATTAATTACATTTTAACAAATATTTGTTTGTCATAATTTATTTGTTTTGTTTGATAATTGTATAAAATTTAATGAACAAAAGTAACATACTACAAAATTTAGGTTATGTAAAATATGTACTGTACATAGTTATCTAAAATATTCATTTATTTTTTACTTGTTTTGAATTCATACTATAAAATACAGTACTTATCATCATCATCATCATCATCATCATCATCTAACTTCAAAATGACACAAAAATATCTGAGATTCATCTAAATCTAATATCGAAAAGTATGATCCTAATAAACTAATAATGATTTTACTGTTTTGAATTGATCACAATAAATGGCACTTATTGTTTTTATTTTACTTCCATATTCTCAGGAGTATAAAAAAAATACTAAGCTAAGATAAATTATGGCATGAACAATAACTTTAAACTCTGTCGTCAATAGTGATTTTTCATATAGCAGGTTGAGATTATGGTTGTGAGATTATAGAGGTGCAGTTATTGCAGCTGATTTCATGATGACATGCAAAAATCACTTGAAATATAATGATTGCAATGTAAATATAAAAATAAAGGAATATGGGACATTTAAATATCTGGATAACTTTTCTCAAGACAATGGGATGTGGAAAAACAGGATGTCTCGTCATCCTATTTTTATCTATTGTTAAAATGTCTGTAATTATGAAATGAAGATATTAGCTAGAATAATTTCAGAAAAAATATTTACATTAACATTTTATTATTTTCTGATTCCAGATAACTTTTTCATATTTCCTTATAAAAANTTCATTTATTTTTTACTTGTTTTGAATTCATACTATAAAATACAGTACTTATCATCATCATCATCATCATCATCATCATCTAACTTCAAAATGACACAAAAATATCTGAGATTCATCTAAATCTAATATCGAAAAGTATGATCCTAATAAACTATTAATGATTTTACTGTTTTGAATTGATCACAATAAATGGCACTTATTGTTTTTACTTTACTTCCATATTCTTAGGAGTATAAAAAAAAATACTAAGCTAAGATAAATTATGGCACGAACAATAACTTTAAACTCTGTCGTCAATAGTGATTTTTCATATAGCAGGTTGAGATTATGGTTGTGAGATTATAGAGGTGCAGTTATTGCAGCTGATTTCATGATGATATGCAAAAATCACTTGAAATATAATGATTGCAATGTAAATATAAAAATAAAGGAATATGGGACATTTAAATATCTGGATAACTTTTCTCAAGACAATGGGATGTGGAAAAACAGGATGTCTCGTCATCCTATTTTTATCTATTGTTAAAATGTCTGTAATTATGAAATAAAGATATTAGCTAGAATAATTTCAGAAAAAATATTTACATTAACATTTTATTATTTTCTGATTCCAGATAACTTTTTCATATTTCCTTATAAAAACTTTTAAATAAATATCTTTAATTTTTTAAATTACTACATTTTTATGAAAAGCAGAGCAGTTCAAACATTTTTTCAGAAGAATTAAAATTTTTTTTAATAATTTGAATATATTAATTATTATGATTAGTTAATTATGAGTTAGTTATAATTTGAATTGTACTCCCTTATCAAAATCGCATGTTTGTTTGTTTTCACTCAGAGAAAATAATTTATTATTATAAATAGTACATTACATTATAATCTTAATTTAAGAAATTTGTCATAAAAGATTTTAATGTGTAAAAATTTAAATATTTAAATATTTAGGTAGCATTTTATGAGGAAGAAAGAGATATTATGGCAAAATCAAGTAGTCCATGGATTACTAAACTTCATTATGCTTTCCAAGATAGACTACATCTTTATTTAGTTATGGAATTTCATCCAGGTGGTGATATGTTATCTTTCTTAGATCATAACGATGATCAATTATCAGAAGATACTGCAAGATTTTATCTAGCAGAATTAGTATTGGCAATTCAAAGTGTACACAATATGGGATATGTGCACAGGTTATTATTATTATTTTATTTTAAGATTTTAAAATAACTACATTATAGCATTTATAGTAGTAATGAAATAAGATTTCAATAAATGGAATCATTTTCCAAATTATAAAACCTGTTTTTTATAAGAGTAAACATATTTTAATAACAGCTTTTTTGTATAATGATTTTAAAATTAACAAGTAAAATGGCAAAATAGTATTTGGGCCAAGGCTATGTCTTGGAGACTCATTACTAAACGGAATCACTTTGATACTCAAGGCGGATCTCATTCTCATTCTCCAATCTTCTTTGGTATCACTGCTTTTGGGCATGATTGTTCAAACTTTGCTGGCCATAACCACAAGGTCATCCACGATGTATTTTCAATGAAATTAACCTATCCAATTTTAAAATTTCTCTCCATTGCAAGTCTGCCTGGGTTCAATAATGAAAATTTCCCATTTTTGAAAAAATAATCGTGGCTATTGTATTATCCGAAATTATTTTTTTTATTTTGCACAAACAATATACAGTTTAACCCAATTATAACGTCATTGTATGTAATGACAACTCTAATATAACGTCAAATTTTTATCGGCCCCACGATTTTACTATACTAGATAATGTTAAAAAACCTACTTGTAATCAACACCCTGTTTTAGTGTCATATTTGAAGCACTCCCAAATTTACAAAATTAGATTATAAATTTTATTTAACATAGAAGAAACTGTGTGTTCAATCCTAAGGTCAGAGTTCACTTCTTAGAATGACTGCGGGTGGTACTCTCTTCTACCCGACTTCGGTGGGGTGAGGTGGCTGTTTTGCCTATTTGTAGAAGAGGGTCGCCATTTTGTATTTTATTTTGACTCAGTTCTCGGTCCCCTGACTACCTACGAGTCTGGATTTTTTTATGCGCAATGATTTGGGCACCTAATACTCTATGCCAAATATCAACTCTTGACATGTACTCCTTTATACCTCTATGCTGGTAATAATAAACGGCAGTACGATTATATAAACAAGCCATAGTCTTGTCAAAAATGCTCATAAAGTTTTAAAATGTTGCTTTTTAATTGTTAGTCAAATTAAGTAATTAGTCAAAGACAGTAAAGAAGATTCAACATAATGATTTCTTATATTTTTATTATTCCTAAAGATTCACAATAACATTGTTCTATAAAATACAAGTATAACTAATTTTTTCTATTTTAGTAGCATTTCTATTTCTTAGAACATTAAAGTTACATTTATTATGATGTGTATCATTCAACATACTTAATGTAATGCTGTTAATCTGAAGAGGGCATATACTTCATAGATGAACCAAAACATGTTTTGAAAGTTAAATAAAGAATTTCTAATGCTGTTGTGACTCTTTAGGCATGATGGGACTATAAGAATCAGATAAGTTGGCTAATTTATAATTAAGAATAAGATTTTTAATAAGATACTCTCTTTTGGCTAATTGTAAAATTTATTATTCATGTACCTGAAGAATTCTGTTGTTAATGTTTGAAGGTTATTTATATGCCACCAATAATAATGTATTGTTTGAGGTATTTAATATATTAATTAATAAAATGAAGAAAAAACTCTTGAATAATCTCGGACTTGATTGCATTGAATTTATTAACCATAATCACTGTTAATAATGCCACAAAAGCATGTTCATGCTTTTTCTAATTCAAAAGGTGTTAGTACGATATTTTGTAATGATTTTTCCATCATCAGCAACATGTGAAATACACATACTCTTTGTTGACCCTCAATGTATTTCTTTTACATCATTTCTAGCATTCTAGCAAATTCTATCAATCATAATAACAGCAATTGAATTTGCAATCTACAAAAGTGTTGCTGACACTGTTAAAAATATGTTGTAATTTAATACTTGTTTTTTTATTGTAAATTTTTATCTGCATTTTCTTTCCTAACAAATTTCTCTTCAAACATTCAATTGGTCCCACAATGGGCAGAGTCAGGTGATGAGGGATGAAATCTAACGTGCTCGAGACAGATTTCCTGACATTCTCGGTGTCTGAGTGACAGGTTAACATCTTTGCTTTAAAGATTTTGTATTACAAACATATTCACTTTTTAGCGATCAGAAAGAAGCAATGTTTGAAGCATTATATGTCCTAACATGATAGTTTGTTACTTAATAAAACACAGTAAAATTGTTTTTGAAAAGTAGTTGTGTTACAATCCAAATCCCTTATAATTTTTTTTAATTTAAAGTAATAAGGTGGTGACTCTGGTTAACATTTTTCCTCAGAATATCTGATTTTTAGGAACAAATTATCAATGTTAAGCAGGGATGCCTCCATATAAATTTAATTGCATCATATGAGATTTTAATTATATGTTAAGTTTTTTAAACACATTTTATATACTTGTCTATTACTTCATAAAAACTATGAAAATTGCTTTATGAAACTGTATTGGCTGTTATCCAACTCTTATGTTTAAACTCATTGTTGAAAAAACATTTGACATCAAGATATTCTTTAGTGACTAAACAGTGAAAATTATTCAGATGATTAAGAATTACTATAAGACAGATGATCGAGAGATGGGTGTTTTATGAGATATATTATTTAGTGAGTGTTCAAGCTTGGGCTTAATATCATGCCACATTTAGTGGGAAAGTATTCAAATTTAGTAGGAACTGGAGTTTGAACTAGTGGAAGAGTTATCTATAACTTGGCAACAGTACCTATAATACCTGAGTAAACTACTGTTTGATTACTGGATATGTCAAACTAGAGATTGGCTGAAGTACTGACTGTGTTGTAATTGGAAAATGACATAATTATTGATGTGTGTTTAAATAGAATTGGGTAGTTTTAAATAGACAGTTTTGATATTTTTTATTAGATAACTTAATATAAAATTAAAAAAACATTTTTAAATCATGCTTTAAAAATATTTAACATTTTTAATATTTTATTTGCAGAGATATAAAACCTGATAATATACTGATTGATCGAACAGGCCATATTAAATTGGCGGACTTTGGATCAGCAGCAAAACTTGGAGCTCAGAAGACTGTAATTATAACATTATTTTCATTATAAAAATCCATAAATTTTATAACTTGAATTTAAAGAAAAATTTCAGAAAAATAACAATTCTTTTCTCCAGTTTTATAGTTTTATTTGAGTTTCTATCTAGATGTACATCTTTCAGTTTGGTTACTTTAATATTTTGAATACTAATGAAATCTTGATATTTTCAATCAAGTTTGTTAGACATTAGAGCAGTAAATACAGTATTGTGTAATACTGCTTATCAGCAATACTGATCACACTAGAATAATAACAATAATATAAACAGCTGATCATAGTTAACAGCAATTAATAGTTGTAATAAAATATATTAACAAATGTTTTACTAATAGTTTTTTCTGAGGACCACTGTAGAGACAGTACTTAGTTTTAATTCATATGTTACAATCTAATTTTAGAAATTATTTTGAATTATATTAACAAATAAAAATGATCAAGAATCTCATATTTTGTTAAAATGATCTATAATAATTTTTTGTTAAGGTATTAAGTAAAATGCCTGTTGGTACTCCTGATTATATTGCTCCTGAAGTGTTAATGGCTATGAATTCTGGGCCAGCTGCATCCTCTACATATGGAGTGGAATGTGATTGGTGGTCTTTAGGAATTGTTGCATATGAAATGCTGTTTGGCCATACTCCATTTAATGATGAAAAAGTTCTTGCTACTTATAACAATATCATGAATTTTAAAGTAAGTTATATGTAATAATTGTATTAGATTGTGTTTTATAGACTACATTGTAGTAGTAATAAAGTATTAGCAAATTTTTTAAAATAGATAATAAAAAAATTGTGTGTGTCTTTCTTTACTGTAATTTTTTTGATTAAAATATGAAATCTGTTTAAATTTTTTAGATTTATTATAATTTTATGAAACTGTTTAATTCATATATTAATTTACTATGGATTTTTCAAATAGCTAAAACTTCAAATAGCTGCACAAAACTTCTTGGTCTTCAAATAGCTGCACAAAACTTCTTGGTCTTCAAATAGACCAAAAAGTTTTGTGCAGGACAACAGTCAGTACTGACATCTTGCATAGTGGCATATTGAAGTTGCAATGTTAAGATTGGTGATAGCCATTTTCAAATACCTTCATTCAGAGTAACTGGTCCATCACTGTTAATGAAGTTGCTGTCTGTTTGCAGATTAACTATGGATTGGCATATTCAGTAATGCATGATGTGTTTAACTATAGAAAAGTGTGTGCAAAATGGATTCCTAAACTTCTCACTGAGCACCAAAAAGGAGAGTGAATAGCAATGTACTGTACCTCCAATACCTACACTGTGGGAATAACTCCTAAGAGGTAGCAGCCTTCTTGGACTGAATTGTGACTGGATAACAGTATGCATTTGGTGTGTGCCCCAGCACAACAATGAAATTAAGGGGTGGAAATATACTCAATCCCCAGAAAGCAGAATGACTGGTTTTCAGCCAAAGCTTATGATGATCTTTTTCGACCATTGAGGTTCAGGAAGTGGATAAGGAGTGAAGAAAGATGAGATTACCTTGCAATCTTATGCAGAGATCTTGAAAAACCAACTATATGTGAGAAACCGTGGGTTCTAGAGGTTGTCCCTATCAACCACTTACTTGGCAACAGTCTGCAAAGACCGCTCATGTTGTTTTGCCCTTCTATCCATCCAGTGACAAGTGGGGAGTGCATTGGTAAGTCGATAGGTGTCCAGGTTCCCGAATAGACAGATGACAGGTTAACATAACAAATAAATGTTGTATTTTATAGTTAGTTATATAAAATAAAGAGGATATACAAAGCTAAACACATATATAGATAATATAGGGCTAAATGTAGTTACAATAATTTGTAATTACAACTGGGCTACTCTATAGCAGCTATGCCTATTTCCGTTGAGAGAGAGTTCTCAGGCCGCTCATAATTACCTCTGTGTGGATGGAAAGCTATATGCGACAATCAGTTACGGTTATGGAAGTAGTGAAAGTCCTCAATGTCTTCTACCATTGTCTTCTCAGACAGGATCGGGACGGGAGACCAAGATGGACCCTAGTTCAAGAATAACTTCCTGTGTCGATCGCCTCAAGCTTCCAGTGGCTGTCGCTTTTATAGCATTATGGTGGGAACGGGGTCACAAGATCGTATTCTGTTGATGATGACTTGCATTCTTTGACACTAAGTGTTAACTTTTTCCACTTGATTGTTGACACTAACGGTGACATCCGATCTTATTCTCGATGAGGAAAATTTTTTGTGTCGGCAGATGTTTACATTCAACTTTCGAAAAAAACTAATTATTTTTTCTTTGTTTTTTAAGTGAGTTTGCGCCCTAAAATCTGTGGGCTTGCATATGTAAGGCCATCAAGTCCAAAAAGCCAGGACTTCTGAGTAAAGGAATGATTTTTCTTTAATACAATGCTAGACCATGTGCCTAAACACCTTAAGCACCTTGATGATGATGAGAGAAGTCCTCAAACACTTGCCATACAATCCTGATTTGTTGCCATGTTACTACCATGTTTTTAGGAAGATGAAGGATGCACTCAGCTGGTTAATTGTTAAATCAGATGATGATGTGAGGGGGGTCATGGAATGTGTTTGCAAGTAGCCAAGCTGTGTTTTTAGAAAGAAAAAAAATTGTGAAGTGGTGGATACTTGCTTTAACCATCAGGAGAGGAATATTTTGAAAAATATTAAATGATATGCTCAAAAAATAATTCTGGTTTCATTTTGAATGAAATAAGTTTAATAATAAATCAATGTAATTAAAAATGTAGATACAAATTATTATTATTGTAGTAGTATAAGTGCAATACTTAATTGGCACAAATGCCATGTATTATGCCAGACAAAAGCCAATATGTTTTAGTTAAAAACAATTATTATCCAGATTGTTTATAAAAGAAATTTTTCAGTAATGGTTTGAAGTTATTAATTAAATATCTGTTACTGTTGACATATGTATCTGAATTAAAAAGCTTTTGTGAGACACGTATTTATTTATTATTGATGCTTTTACTTTTTTTGAATAAACTTAAGATTAAAATCTTTGTTTATAATCATTCATATTTAAGGTGTTGGTATTTTATTATAGAAATCTCTGAAGTTTCCAAATGATGAAGTTGAAGTATCTCAATCAGCAGTTGATCTAATTAAAGGTTTACTACAAGAAAGTACTGAACGTTGGGGCTATGAACAACTTTATGTAAACATATTCTTCATTGATATTGATTGGGATAATATCAGACAAAGTAAGAATTGTTTTAGGAAATAAAATTCATACTTTTAGTAAGTTAATACTATTAGTCTTTTTTTTTTTATTGTAATTTTTATTCTTTTCTGATACTTCAAAATAAAGTTTTCATATTTACTGAAATGATATAATCTAAAAGTATATTTAAATTAAACTTCTGTAAATGTTATTTGTCAGTTTTGTATATACTACCTTCTTTTGATTTGAATTATTCTATATACTGTACGTACATACTATGTTTGTATTGATACATAGCTCAAATTATTAATTGTATGCTTCTTGTAAATTGTATGTTTAAAAACAATTTTTTGAATTAAAATTACCATATATTCTGGCATATAAAATGACTTTTTAACCCAGGAAAATCTTCTCAAAAGTTGGGGGTCGTCTTATACGCCAGGTGTCGTCTTATAGGGCAGGGGCTACAGTCAGCCGGGAAGCCCAGGGTATGGATAGAGATAGAGCAGCGCTGTGCCCAGAAAAACACGCATCTTTCACTCATCTGGCCCACCTTTGTATATATCCTATTACCGTACATCTTCTCTGTCTCTCAGATCTTATTCGGCGAGTAAATCCCAAATTCTATATTTTAACTGTAAAAGTCGGAGGTTGTCTTATACGTTGGAATATACGGTACATTTAATTGAACATTTCAAAAAAAAAATTAAATTTTTGAAGTCAAATTGACTGTGTGTTTTAGAGATATAATCTTTGCCTTTTGTTAAGTTTCATCTGTTGGCAATAAAGGTAGTTTTTGTTTTACAACCTGGTTTTCTTCAAGCTTATTTGAAATCCAAAAGTCACTGCTAACATGAAGCACCATACATACAACATTTGTGTGATTTCAATTATTATAGTTTAACCCCTTTTGAGCTGCCCATTTTTTTAGAATTTTTAATTAAGCATAAAAAATACTTAAAACTGAAAAAAAAACGAAAGAAATGCGTTAATTTTGAAGAAAAAGCTTCAAATTTTATTTTCCTTTGTCTCATCTTTCTGTGAAATATAACACCGATGAGTCATTGTTTACACAGCTGGATGACCTTGAACACAGCTGGAGTCGGATTTCCCGGGACATTCTCATAGACATCGCAGGAGGACAAGGGTTTGAAGTAGGGTGACTTCAATCTGGCGGTATATTTTTAAATATTTTTAAAAAATTATAATTTTTATTGAGATTTCCGACCCCCCCTAATTAATTAAACTTCTATATAATAAAATCTATTAATTAAAAAAATTAAAAAACTATCGGAAGTCGTTTTTGACATCAGAAAGCAGCTTTAAATAACTTTACCGAAGGAAAATCGGTGCGCTACAACTTTAGAATGATAAATTAATTTTGATAAAAAACTCCCATTAAAAAAACATTAAGCCTTAATCGAGCCTTATCAAA